TGAAAGTTTTCACAAGTCATATTTTATGAGTTATGAAATATTTATAATAGTAATGACTGAAATCCTATGACATGAAATAAGCACAACAGTACATGGAAATTCAGTTGTGATGAGCATCTCTGATGTCCATGTGTGCTCCTTGACACAACAGAGAGCCACAACAGACATTACAACAATGATACATGAACTTCTCTGGGTTGTGAAAGTTCAAAAATGTTATGTTGAAAGTTGAACATCATTTTATTACAATGAACTATTAGTGTAGTTTAAACATTACATGAAATAGAACAGTAACATAATATTTAACAAATTACAATTATTAATAAACAATAAAACAATAATTTAATAAAATTCACAATGTTAGTTTTTACATATTATGTACAACATATACAAAACCATGTTTTGTTTGGGTTACTGATGGTGTCAATTTCCTGTTCTGTGAGGTCTGTGCATTTCACATGTGTCCACAACATGCACTTGTCACATTGGATCTACACAGAAAATCACGTGATTTACTGCCATAATTTCAAACTGAAACACAACAAAATGATTGTCATTGCACTGTCAGATTTATATGACTGAAAAAAAGAACATACCCATTTTGACTTTGCTGCTGTTTCCTTCAGGCCACAAAGTTGGCAGAAGTCAGACACTGGTTCTGGAATACAGTAATGACACAAGTTTTACTTACATTTTCTGTTATTCCTTCTATAACCAACACATATTTCATTTAGATATAAACATCTCTACCAATTGAGATGACAGTCCTGTGTGACTTATAAAACTCCTCCAAAAATGTAATTCTAACCGTATTTGATAATTGATGTTGAAGAGTCTTTCCAAGCTGTGAATGTCCCCTTGCTGCCATCTTTGTGGCAAAGATAATCCAAGTACAAAATTGAAATGGGGACAGGCAGAATGGCCAAGGCACATATTGAAGTTCCATTCAAAAGTTTGGATACACATTCTATTCAATGGTTTTTCTTTGTTTTTTATTAATTTCTACATTTTGGATTTATACTGATGAAACGAAAACTATGAAAGAGGACATATAGAATTATTTCTTATTACAAACTGTCAAATATGGCAGTTCACTGTATATAATTGTGTTCTGTATAGCTGCCATAGATAACATCAGCCTATGTGCCTCTCGTTGGCTCCTGTGTTGCCCAGGATGCCCTTGCCAGGACAAGTACGTTAGAATATAGAACTATGTCCTCACATCCAGGCATACAGTATACATACATACAAAATACTTACATTTGCTTTTTTATATATATATATATATATATATAGATTATCAGTTCCATGTTCCAAACTCCTATAACTGCAAAGTAATTCATTCTAAGTTCAAACACCTATGACATCATTTGTTTGTGTTACTAAAAAGTCATTTATTCAACTGATGAATACCACTTTATTTTATGATAAGGAGGTAACACACCTAAGTGCAGCCAGCAAATTGTTTGAGTTTATGTTCTGAATTTTTCTGTATATTAAGTTTACGTGAACGCTCATTCTGTACAATTCTCTGTAATATAACAGTTTGACGGTTGGATTTGATACTGTGAAGTGTGACAAGTGCAACAAGAGATGACAGAAAATATTGTAGTTATACCGGAGAAAGCCAGAATATCTGTTGCCATTCTTTGGCGCAGCTCAGCAATGCCTTTCCGTTCTGCATCTATGTTTATACACTGTGGAATATCTGGGTAACTTGCAATGATGTCCTCTGCAATCTGAAAACAAGCAGCAACAAAAAACAAGTAACACAACTGCAACAAGAAGCAGCAATAAACTTAAGCAATGTATTTTCTATGTGGGTCACCTTCATCACAAAAAGCCCACAGCTGTTGCCATCCAGCTGTTTGCTGTGTTCAATTGTTACATGCCTCCACCTGATGCCAGACCACTCCAGTGTCCCTAGAACATTGTGGCGCATCTGGAAGTATAGTCTAAAAGGTGTGTTAATACAGTTTAAAAACATTTCTTACAAGCAGAGTCTGTCTAATTAAAATGGCATATACCTGAAACGCTGTGCCGCCTTCGCAGAAGCCTTCTCTTCATTGACCCCCAGAGGATCAATAACCATGATTGTTTTTGTGGTAGCATTCATAAACTATACAGGATTATACAATCAACTTGTTGAATTCCACTTTTTAAATTTTTACATTATTATTCACAATCGCTGCATATGTAGCCTGGCAGACACATAATAATGCCATTACTTTACCATAGTCTTGGAAACTTACCATCAGCGTCCAGTGATTGGACTCATTCAGGGCCCCAATCACAGCAGTGTAGTCATCAAAGTTCACCTATTTAACCATAGCAAATGTGTATTTAATTTCAAGTAATTTATTTTTAAATTGTACATAATTTATGAACATTATAATGTATTTAATAATGTATATATTGTACACCAGCATAAAATGAGATTTCTGCACAAAAATGTGAGTATGCTGCAGTGAAAAAAAAAAGTGCTTGGCTCATGATGGAGGAATGTACTGCAGAAGTTTGAATGAGTAGGAAGATCTTGATTTTGAAAGTACAATCATTTAAATTGGGGCAAAAAAAACAATTGTTATGGTAAATACAAAAACCATAGATGGTGTCCTTTTAGAGCAGCACACCAAAACAAGAAGGAATACATTTTACTTACCTTGGACAATGTTTGCCGCCGTACTACTTCGTTTGTTCCATGCATAATGACACCAACTGTATAATGGCTCATTATGAAAATATGTTTTGCTGTCTTAGTGCGTGTCCTCACAAGCTGGAGGTAGTAATCAATTGTCTTGAGGTTTGTGCAGTTGATGAGTAGGGGAGAAATGTAATTAAAGTCAGAACAATTTGTTAATTCAAAAGTGACAGTAAATGGTTGTCTGAAGTAAAAGAGAGAGAATTTACTCTTTTTAAACTAAAGTCAATGGATTTCTTTTACCTCTCCACACAGCCATTCATGCGGGTACAGTGTTTTATAATCCATCAGCCTTAAAACAACTGTACTGGGACTCCCATCATTTTGGAAGGCTGCTACAACTGCCTCATTGTCCTTTGTACTCCATAGAGCATGCATCTTATGGAAATATATTATCAGTGTTTTAAGTATTTATGACAGATAACTTCTAATTGTTTTATTGCTTACATTAACAGTAGGCTACTTTGCAGACCCCTTTATCCAAGTAACTTTATATCATTGATATATCTAATATGTTACAAGTTAAGGACACTAGCAGGTTGGCAGTGCTGGAGTTTGACATATTAACCGCTGAATTGCCAATGTAAAAAAAATTCATGTGCAGTACCTTTTTTTCAGGGTCCGTTATATTTGCTGCTGTTGACCATTTTCTTTGTTCGTTGTGTTCAGTGTTATCAGCAGCAATGGCCTTTGAAGATTTTTTTCCCATCTTTTTCACCTCTTTTTCACCTGTTTCACCACTTTTTTTGATAGAAAGAGGGGTTGGCATGACAGGAGGCACATTGTAATATTTGGCCTTTGATGTTTTTGGAACTCGTT